GTCTGCCCTAATTGAACTGCATGAGGCTTAGGTCAAAGCGCCTCGGATACAAAACTTCATGTGTTCAATCAGTTCTGGAACACCTTTTTTTAATCTAAAGCAGTCTTTGGAATTGGAAACCACCAGAAGCAGCACGGCGGCCAACAAAATGAATTTTTTACGACGACGGGCAGTTCTAGGGTTCCATAAGATCCCATTCGGAAGCTATTGTCATAGCCAGTAATGTTCTCCAGGAAGGACAAGGGTCAATTAGACGTTATCTTCGCTGCAGTGGCTGGCTATAAAAGTGTTATATGACCGCCAATTTAGTGATAGCAACACCGCCATAACTTCCAGAATATTTATTGAGCAATCATATATCACTCTTCGGACTTTCAATCTCCGCTCTCTGCATTTCCACAAACACTTTGCCAGGTTCCTTGCAGACGTTGCATGCCACCGGGAAGACCATTCGTGTTCACGTTTGTCGTGACGCACCCAAAAATGATGAAATCTCATCCAGGGCTCTTTATCACTTGCCACGTTTCGGCTCCTTCACTCTGAGAAACAGATTCATCCCCTCAATTCATGTCACACCAGCTTTCCCGGTGTTTTCCATTCTCGCGTGAGCAGCATCGTATTCACGTCGGCAAAATTTCACTGGGCATTACGATGCTGAATGGTAGGATGCTCACGAAGGAGACTTGAGCATCTCCCTCGTATTTCCACTTGCGTGGAAATACGAGGGTCTATGCTAGAGTCACTTTAATGCTAGAGTCACTTTAATACCGTGCTATGAAGGTGTTTCTGTTGGGTTCCTGAAACTATTTAGCACATGTTTCATGAAACCATGATTTCCTTTGTAGTTTCAGTTCAGGGTTGTACTCTTAGAGAATGGGCGAATTCTCAATCCAGTTTTCATTCTTTTTTTTCTCGATTGATTAGAATCCTTTTCCTCTTTTTTCCCTCCTCTCATAGCCAACCTGGAGATATTGCTCGCTTGTTTATAAAAAAAAATTAAGCAGCATGTAGACGAGACCTGGATCAGGTTGAGTCTAATTATATGACGTATGCCAATAATGAATCCAATTCAATAAGTCAGATATAATGCTAGCGAAGCTTTTCGACATGACTTCACTTTCAAGCGTAGGTCAAATGAGAGTTCTTTCTCATGTGAAGGCAATTCTTCGAAATGCTGTGGAGATGGACATCACTTCATCCATGAGATGCCCATCTCCTGGGCAATCACCTCTCGTGTTTGCGTAGGAAGCTCCTAAACTCGTCCGATACGAACAGTATCAGTCACGAGACGAGGACTCTCCAATGGGGATTCATGTGCAACGGTTGTCTACCGACAATGATTCAGGCTGCCAAAGAAGTAACAGTAAGATCCCTCCTCTGAGTCTCGGACACTAGTGGACGTCATGATTCACTCCAGTTTGTAAACAAGCACTTATATCGCTCACAAATGGGATGTGGTCGACACCTATCGGGAAAATCGTCTGAAGCCAGCAAGCGCAGAACGTCTGTCAATCGCAAGGGGCGTTTCGGCTCGATCAGGTTGACCCTCATCCGGCTTACGCCTTTAAGCTTCAGAACTCTAAGTTTCTTGGTTTTTAGCCGCACACGACCAGAAAATGTGAACGTTGTGGCTCTTAGAAATGCCATGATACAAAAATCACAGAAGTAGAATCTGAGGTCTCTGATACCTGGGTCTTACAAATTGGACGGAACTCCATGAAAATTAGCGCACAGTGACAATTGAGGGAAGGTGGGTAGATGATGAGATACACTCAATTTAATCGATCCGAAATATGTTTGTACGACGTGTTTCGATGACATAAATTCCGTGACAAGATGAACTCTGGCCTACGGAAATACTAAGTGCTTCCTTTGCTAGCTTCACCCACTTCAGATTCCCGCATAGTCTTTCCATGGAGTGAGCCACTTGAATTTCTGAGACCATATACCACGCAGTCTTACGCATTCCAATCCAGCGTCAATGTGGGCATACCGCAGAGATAGCCGTGTGAATGGAGACAGGAGTAAGCTGTCTGGCAGTTTTTTTCCTCATCTGATCACGCATTACCAACCAGACGAGTTCCGAATCCACCTTGCTATGACAGTAAGTACATGAAACCATAGAATATATTGCATCAAAGCCCATAGGCCGAACTACTGTAGCGAAAAGACAGCAAATACGTACGTCGTTCTGGTTTCTGGTTCTCATCGGAAAGGAGAGGATTGGAAGAGAGACTCGGATTCACGCTGGTTGCCTTGCATCGTCCATGTCGCAGGCAGGTGTTTGACGCATGCGCATGAAGCCCCGAACGACAAGGACGAGGCGCCACTACGGATCCTGGCTGGTGCACGTGCATCTGTCTGTCTCTCTCCTTTGCCTAGCCTTATTGTCACTAAAAATTCTCCCTCTGCTCCGGCTCCGTCTAGATGGATTTTGGACGAAGTAGTGGCCTGTGATTCATAACCTCAATTTGAAACCAAACAAGTGAGCTTGTGTTTCACCCAACTTCCGAAAGTATGTCCACGTGCTTACGATATGCAGGGAGATCCCACTGTAGATGTATGTTAAAAAGATCTTTGAATTAAACTACTTCGAAATGATAGGTGTTCAAATTATCAATTTTATTCGTCGTGTTAGTACGTGGGCATATCAAATAAGACAGTTCCCTATTTTTTTTCCACAAAACTATCAGAGCTTGCAAAATAATAAAAGTCCTTGGCAACTATGTTGAAGAATAGTTTATGTATCCCACCGATGTGTTTAGCGATTGAGGGCCTCCCCGCATCATTATTAAGGTTGCTGTCATTGCCATGACGGACAGACGTGCTGGGTCGGGCCTAGCATGGGTCATTTTCAATTGATGTGCGTCTGCGCGGAAATCGTTGTGCCTGTTTGAACACCGCACTCTTTGGTAGACACTGATTCTTTAATGCATTTCCCAGTTGTCGAAAGATGGATGAAGCCTTCTCACCCTAAGCAACAAGGAATTTTATAATGTCCGTGCACACACTCGCCACACATTATGTCTGACGAGAGAACTACAGTACATTTGGCAGGGTGCTTCCATTTCAGAGTGGAAACTTGGGGATTATTTGGAGCAAGGATTCTACATATAAAACATGAAGTTCATGAAATGTTCTACCCTTCCTGGTATGATTTCCTGATCTGCTGATAATTCGGCAAAACTATTTCATGCAACATGAATGCATCCTTAAACCCCCAAAATTCACGCTTGTCTCGATGCCTTCCTGAAGCTCGCACCCATATTCTACTAACAAAAGTCTGCCCTAATTGAACTGCAGTATTATTTCAACGAGTGGAGCAGGAGCATACGATATCTAGAGTTTTTTGGTGTAATAAGGTAATGGTAGATTTCGTGCCTCATCTAATACTCACCACAGGCTATCGTCTACAGGCACTTTCGTGACAGAAAGAACGAAAAAAAAAGATGAATTCCAGTCCTCTTGGAGACTGCGCAACTCAGAATCCTAGCGGCATGTAAGTCTCCTTTCATTTTGTCTCCCTTCAGGTGCTTACGGTGAAAGTTCAGTGAAAGTTCACTTATATCATGTTTGTGCCTCGTGTTGGGGATGGACTGGTTACGTACGTACGTATGTACGTGGTACGTGTCATATTAAGAAAGGTTAAAAATAATGGAGATTAAAAGTATGAAACCATTCGGTGCCAGACAAAAGACCAAGGTTTAAGACCAGTGACCCTAACATTTCGCAGAACCATAATCACATTTTGAAGCTTAGAGACCATTACACGTGAGAAGGGATTTTTATTCAGACATCAGTTCCTCTTTCCCCATTGCCGCAATACGCACACAGATAAGATAAAGAAGTCATTCATGACATGTCGTTAACTTGATCTCTGCGTTACATTACATTTATGATTACTGTTGGAGCCGATTCTCATGAAAAGTCTCCGAAAAAATAAGAAATTTATTCAAAAATGTTTAAGTCCGAAGCCCTTCATGTTGCAATACACCATTTTTACTCTCTTGAGAATCGGTGGTGAGAATAGCTTCGTACAGAACGCCTTCCCCGACTGTGTACTAATATCTCATGACCGGCACTCGAACCCAATCTCGATTGCCGATCAGACCGGTCCGAAGCCGGCTTTGGCCTTTTAGCTTCAGATTACATAATCACTTGCACCCAACCGAAAACTCTATTGCCCAGCTCGTTAGATGCCCAATGCACAGGTCACATCAGTCTTATCGAGCCGATCCCCATCCCGGCCGAGATCAAAATATTTTCCTATTTAACAGGTCTTTCGATATGAGAACGACGGCTCGCACTTTAAAGTTACGCAGTGGAACTCGCTGAAAAGTTGCATAGACAATCGGGGTTTGCTCAATGACGGAACCCATCCCCTATTATTGGTCGAAAGCGAGTCTGTTTGAAATTCGAAAGGCGTTCCTCGTTAGAGTGCTATGAAACAGGACTCACTGGAAAATGTAACGTGAGGGAAATTGTGATCTCTGATGACGGGAACCATCCCTCGTTTCTTCTGATTCCAGGGATTTCCATATTCGTTCGGTGTCTCATTTGAATGTAATCGCTGACACAAACGAAATATGATTACCCGGATGGGATACTTATAGTGTCCAAAGTTCAAAAAGTCCTACTGACCTTATACGGCCTAATTTCTGCGACAAAAAGAGCCTTTAACTGAATACCTTCCCGGACAAGGTGCTCACAGCCAACAATAAGAGTATGCGGTATTGCCCGCTACGGACGTACGAGTAATTGCTATGGTAGTTTTGACGTGGTACTAGTCCTGTCACCGGTTTATGTCGGTGCTTCGTGTAAGTCTGCAGCATCCAGTTAGTGCTTCATATTATTTTCAATTGTTGGTATTGCTCTCGTAATGCCACGAAAAAGGTGGGCAATTTTACACTATTCTGTGGACTCTATCCACATGGTGCTTCGGGCATCCTGGTCTGGATGCAAGAAATACTTGTAAAAATCTGATGATGGAAGCTGTAATGATGAAACGTATTAGACTTAACATAACCTTGATATAATTTATGTATCCATTAGTCTCTTTGCAGATCGAGAGGAATCAACAGGAACCTCCAAGAGTGATTGCAAGGTCGCTGGGAATAGGCAGAAGAAAAGCAGAAAATACATGCTCAAGAGCGACTCGACATCTGATGAGGAGAAACATCACGAGCCTTTAGGCAGAATGGAGGAGGTCTGGAATAGGCATAGGAAAGAAGGGCGGAGGACGAAGATGAATGAACAAAGCCAGCTGAGAGAATATGTATCACAAGAAAGAAAAGAGTGTATCCACAAAACGCGACTCTTTCACACTGTCGCAGGGACAGAAGAATCACGAGGAAGTATGGACGGCCTGTCGCTTACCTTGGAAAATGCGTCAGAGAGAATCCGCAACCACGTGAAAAAGAACGATCTGTTAATCATACCGTTGGATGTGAAAGTGTCGATTTGCACAAACCACTTGACACCGGACGGTTGCGACGAGGAAAACCTGTGTCAATCCTTGCACATTTGCCCAAAATCCCTCTACGACCTTTGCGAGGACAGCAGTTGCGAAGATGGGCATGATGTTCACACTCCCCATAACACACGCCTTTTCAGACAATTAAAATTGGAAAATGTCGATTCCCATGTGCTGAGACTGCTCCTCGAACCAGACACGGTGGCCCCTGATGTGTGTGAGGAATATTGTCTCGGAAGTATATGTGCCTCCAAAGAACGATGCGTAAAGTTGCACCTGTGCGCGGGTTACGTCATGGGAACTTGTGAGGATTGCAATTTGAATCATGATATTCTCTATCCGCAGTGTGAGACATTGCTCAAGCAAGCCAATGTCCAACTACCCCGATCGAAGAAGGAATTGAAGATCTATCTCAGAAAGAAATGCACGAACGTAGCAAAAATTGCTAGAAAGAAGACAGAAGCAGAAGTGATATTACAGGAAACCACTGATACGTTAAAGGCGTGGCAAATGGAACACATACTTTCTGACCATTATCACCAAAACAAGGAAAATCGTGACACGAGCAAAAATTCCCAAAGAGCTTCTCTTCAGTCTACAGAGTCCTTGAAACAGAAAGGGAATTGGATTGCACCAAGACGTTCTACTATAAATTTTCCAACTTTCGAAGAATCCAAACCTGCGAGCCTCCTGCCGAGACAAGAAAATCCGGAGAAGAAGGGCATTCTAAAATCGTCCATCCATTGCACTCAGAATAAAGTGGAAGTAAGTACCCATATTTCATCGAAAATGTTCAGAAAACCCAGTACAGGGAAACGTGATTTTAAGCTTTCCAGGTATCGTATCCGGTATTTATTTTAGTTGATCTCAGAAAGACGGAGCTTTTTTTATTACCCCTCTCGTGCATGGATTTTTCAAGGCATATTTCATTGGCTTGATGTTTATGGCGGTACTCAGCCATAGCAGTGGCATGTTCCACCGCCAGAAGGCAACAGTGAATAAAGTATGTGCCCTGGATTAGACTGCATGCACCAGAAGTTTCCAGGCATGTGAATTTATATTCTTGAGACATAACTGTCAGTCACTGAGCTGTATTGTACATGCATAGAGAAAGTTATCAGTTTGAGTCCCAGAGGATTCCATTTTATTTTAATCGTTAAGGCCAGTTGGGTGCTTTAGTATGATACATAGCCACCATAGGCAGAATAAGAGCAGCTTGAGTTGACTGAAAATGAGATATACGGTCATCACACATCTCAATAGAGAGGTTCCCATCCTGAATAAGTCTAAGCCCGTACAACATTGACGGAGACTCGTGATGCAACATTCTCCTCCTATCGTCTGCACCTTAGTTTTTGAATAAGTGAGTCTCGCATAATTAATTAAGAACTGGCTACCCTAATGTTTCCTGCGATGCATACATGTGATTGTATTCCTCTTTTACTTAATCGTTCGAAGTCTATTTCCAAATTGAAGCTACGTTTATGAGTATTGCCCCTCAGATCCTTCACCTTGACCCCAGGTGACTTCGATCTAAGCAGGCCATATTTTGCCTTACGTTAGACTTAATTCTAGCCTTTGGAATCAGTTCAAAATTGGGACTTCCTGGACCTGCGACATGGCCGAAATCACAATGGTGGGCTTCGAATGTGACTTAGAAAAGATGCGCATAGCTATTCTCCTGGGACAGGCCTCATCCCAGGCAACACCATTAAGGGAAGAGGACGGTGCCAATGATAGACACGGCGGCGCCTTAACAGAGAGAAAAACTGCCACGCACAACTCCGTGTTATCCACATGTATATGCAATCCACGTAGGCATAATAATTGTGCCTGGAAATAGGTGAAATAACGGGTCAGGAGGAGGTTTTGAAGCAATTCGCCTGGAGTCTCCCCAGTTGGAGAAGAAACCTTTCCCATCCAATGTTTGAAGTTGCAGTTGACATGAAACCTATTGTGTCCGTCTCATTTTATTTTAGAGAAATATATTATTCTCAAATGATTCTCGAAACCCAGATGGATATCCTTAATGATGGGGAGGAAGGAGAGGATACGGTGGAGGAAGGAGACGATGAGGAAGAGGAAGGGGAAGATGAGGAAGAGGAAGGGGAAGATGAGGAGAAGGAAGGTGATGAAGAAGGTGAAGAAGAGGAAGAGGAAGACGAAGGAGGACGTAGCCAGAAAAAATCCATGCCCTTAGAAAACTCCAAGACTTATTACCAATATGGCTCTGGGATCAGGGTCAGCAATGACAAGAAAGTCCTTTCCGAAGTTATGAAAGAAAAGTCGAACATGTTTCAAATCGGGATGGATGGCATACCAGATATCTACGTCTTGCCAAAATCACCTATAATAAAAAATGATGACATGGGAATAGCAAAATATGACATTGGACCTGCTCATTCACAGATTGAATCTGATGAGAAGGTGATTCTGGTCGTTGGACAAACAGGAGCAGGTATGGGTAAACCATGACATTCATTCACTAAGGTTTAGTGAGAGGTACTGCCATAGCTAGGGGATTTAACATTCCCTTAATTTTGACAAAATGGTGAGTTCCTTTTTCCACATTCGCTATTATATACGGTTCTAATGACGTTATTTAAATGGGATCAAAGATTCTATGGTCGTCCCAACTTACTCTGCACCGCGTCATCGTCCCTAAACGTTTGCGAACTTCCGTCGACAAGGATCATATATCATTAATTTTCCATAGCGGTGCGCAGTCGCAGTCCATCAGACATTGCGTCCACTTATTCAGTTCACAATCGGATGCGCTGCGGCAAATCGACACTGCTGCACTGTTGAAAAATATGGAGCTAAGTTTGTCCATTTAAGAGTTTTCAACAAATAAGTCTATTTCGGATTGGGTAATTATAATTTAGGAAATTGGATCACAAAAAGTTAACACTTGTGACGATCGAGTAAATTTCAGGGCAGGAAGTCGTGGCACTAGCTTATGATATATTATATTATGGACCGTCCATAAGTCACAAACAATACACGGTTGTCCATTTAAGTGGAAACAGAAATAAACTAACATTTACTGTACATATTCCACGTGTTCACCGTTGTTCTAAATGCATTTATGTAATCGTTTTATTCATGTTTGCTAAACATTTTAAAAGAAACCCGGCACAATTTGAGAACAAGCTGCAGTTATTCTTTCTTCAAGGTGCACCAAGTTTTGAATCTTTACAGAGTACACAATACTTTTTAATAATCCCCAAAAGTAAAGTCCAACTATGAAAGATGCAGGGACCTTCGCGGCCATTCATTCTTTTGGTCCACGATGCCCGATCCAATGTCCTGAAAAATGTTCATGAAGCATGTAAAATAAATATGCGTACAAACTGTAAAAGTTAATTCATTGCTATATTTCCACTTAAATCTGCCACCCTGTAGAACAAAAATTTTAATCTCCCTATCTATATTCTACTCCATTCCATATTTTGCTCACAAGTCCCACTAATGTGATCGATCCAACGAACTAAAAAAAACAGCGCCAGGGGTGCTGCCGTTCGATATAAAACTTGATTGCGAAAAGGCTAAGCTTGTAATACAAGTGACTATTACTCTGAAGATCTTCTAATGCAGCTCAGCTTCCTGTCGGGAAATGATATTCGATTCTGTTAGAGAAATCTTGATGATGGCAAGATGAAACCTTAAAAATGATGCCTCATTTGTGACGGATTGTTCATGAGTAAAGTAGACCGCAGCGTTTCGAAGGCAAAGTTTTCATTCATTGTTGACCTTGGACGGAGGCCCTTGGCCGTGCCATCACTAATGCAATTGACTCATGGAGAGGAGAACCCTGCTTTTGGGGTATAAATTGCAAGGGATAAAGTTGCTGATACAGAACATAGTTTGCGAGTATGTTAAACGTTCATTATTGAAAACACTGAAAAATGTTCATTATGTAGTTCTGTGAGAAGTGCGTGCAAATAGCAAAACTTGGATATATCATAATTCAAAAGCAAGGTTGGTATGTTACTTCTATATGAAACTTTCATCAGTTTCCTTCCATCACGCCTTACTCTCATGCTTTTTACAAACCTCTTGCAAATGGAGAAGAATCACCAACTAGATTGACGTTTTCATTCCCGCCAACTATTTTGCACTATATTGCTTTTCGATTCTTCTCATCCTCGAAGGTGCGTTCCATGTGATTGGGGTGAGTCCAATGGCTTCTCTTTTTGCCGGTTATGCAACTTTTACTTTGAAGAGGTGTGTACGATTTTCATGATTTCTTCTGGAATAGGACCCATAATGTATTTCAATGGTTTACAACCTAACAAGTAACTAACATTCTGGTAATTTCCGTGGAATTTAATTTGCGCTGATCAACACGCGAGTCTTTTCAATATGCTGTACGGAAAAGTTATAGACATTTAGCGGAATAACCCAGATTATGTGAGTGAAGTACCCAGCTATACAGTTCCCACGACTGGGGATATTTACTGCTTGAAGTAACTAATTATTATAAGATGGAGACTTTTTACTATGGCCTTCTAGATCTGGTTGTTAGAGCATGTTACAAGTTTGTATATTTATTGGTTGGAGAGTAAAATGGAATTCACACTGAAATACATTAACCATTGTCATGCGAAAATGTCATGGTACTTTCAGAACCATGGCAAATTATTCAGTCTCGAATACCGCGCAAAAAAGGAATATATTGGGCCCCTGAGGAATAACAACCGACTTCATTCAGTTGGATTATTTCAGTTCTCCATTGGAATTACCGAGTACAAATTGTCAGCGCTGCTTCGTATCTCTTATTTCGCATTTGAGAATCGCAATACAACAAGTACATCATTTCTTGTCAATTGAAATTTAAAAAATTGTTTTTGGGCAACTTGATGTATTTAAAATAAAAGTAATATTCTTGTATGATCTTGAAAACATTCATATGGTCACAGATACTCTTTTCACAAACGAGTTAGTACATGACTCGTCGTGTACTAACTCGTTTGACTGAATTGGTTTGTGAATACTTGTTCAGTGCATCATCGTCAGGTACATAGTTGTACAACCGATTCTAGGAGTTCTCTGACCGTAAAGTCAAAATGGTGCACACCCAAAGCACAGAAATTCATCAGCGAATCATTTAAACAATTTGTCGTTTCTTTTTTTCAGTATACTTCTACTTGAAGTATACTGAGGCGTTAAATATTATGAGTGCCCCTAGATATTACAATTATACGGAATCACACCGTATAGCATCCTCAGTTATCGATTTTGGGACGCAGTTATTGGTGAGATGAAAATGTTTCAGGAAATTATGCAAGTTACTAAATTTGCATAATTTCCTTAAACATTTCATCCTTGTCAGGAAGATGAACACATTGAATGTGAAACGCTGAGTGCAACTTTTGTCTCGCAATGTCTTCATTGATTCAATATTCTTTTCCAGGGAAGACAACAATGATCAACGGGCTGGCGAACTATATTTATGGGGTCCAGTGGGAGGATGGATTTCGATTTAAGGTCATCACAGAAAACGGAGACACGAATGAAAAGGATAAGCACCGTAGCCAGACGAAGGGAGTATCCGCCTATTCTTTCAACTGGCAGGAGGGAATGATGATACCATACACTCTCACCATCATTGACACACCCGGATTTGGAGATACTGAAGGGATCCGTAATGACGAGGGAAATGTTGTAAAGGTTAGTCTTGGTTTTCAGGGTAGATAATAGGGTAGATGTACATCGTTCCTGGAAACCGATCATTTGGATAATCATTATGGGGAGTTACTTCTTATTTAAGAGCAGAGCATCTTCTCCTACAGCTGCGGGAGTTTTTTGAGGTGTGTGCTCCGCATGGTCTGGACTCCATACATGCAGTCGGATATGTGTTGCCAGCCTCCACAACTAGACTCACGGCCGCACAGAAGTACATATTTTATGCTGTTACGCAATTATTTGGGATCGACACCAAAGAGAAGTTCGTGCTCCTCCTGAGTTTTTCTGATGGACAGGACGTGTCGCCAGCCATCAATACTGTGAAGAGCTCGAAGCTCTTCTATCGAGAGAGATACAACTTCAATAACTCTGCTCTCTACGCATGCAATGAGGACTGCATGCAAAAAATGTTCTGGGTCATGGGACAAAAGAACAACAAGATGTTCCTGGAGTCGTTGGGCAATGAGGCATCCATCAGCTTGGATCTGACGAAAGAGGTGCTCGTCGAAAGAGGAGCCCTGGCGAAGGCCTTGAAAAACTTGCAAGAGGATATCCAAGGAGGTTAGCTGAAGTACATTTTATGTGAAGCTTTGAGCTATTCATTTTCTTGAGGTTAATCATATTTCTCTGCTTTCACCTAGTGTCTTCTAAAATTTGCGATCTTCAAGAGCAATGCAGGGAGCTCAAGAAGAAGGAATTGGAAGTCTCGCAGACCATGGACGTAGTGGAGGATTGGTTTAAAATTCACTTGGAAAAGGAAAAGGCCATCAACTGCTCCAACTGCAAACAGACCACCTGCGAGTATCCAGCCACGATATCAAAGTCCAAGGACATCAAGGAGAGCAAATGCATTAGACCCGGCACTAAATTCAAATGCAAAAAGTGCCGATGCTCATGGAAGACTCATCGACTGGAAGCTAAGAGATACGAAGTGAGAACAATCTCCAAGTGCAAGGGTGTCGAAGGTGTCGTGAAGGTCGCCGAGAAGAGACAGCTCGAGAGTCAACTGAGACTGCTAGCCATGAGCATTCGGAGGAGCCAGGTGGAGCTGGTATGTCGGATTCAAGAAGCTCACGCGACCAAGATTCGACTCAAAGAAATCTCTCTTAATCCGGACCCCCTTCCTTTGGAGGAGTACATCGAATTCCTCATTCAGGCAGAGAAGAAGAACAGTCAGGCTGGGTTTCTGAGGCGGATTGAGCAACTTGAGCAGGTAAAGCAAGTACGCAAAGTTTGGAAGGAGATACTAGATGAGAAGGTCTCAGGTACGTATTCCGTGTTCCCCGACGTCATGTCTGTGTTGAAGAGAGAAGGAATCGATTTTCAGAGTTTGGAAAGCGAATTGCTCCATGGAGATTGGGATGACGAAACACCGAGAGGTATGATAGAGACATTCAAAACATTGTTCAAAAGGTTGGGGAAGAATTCCAAGAAGAAATGAAGTGCCGTTTGCTCAAATATTACCCGGAATGAAGGAATATACATTTTTGTTTATCATGGCGACGATGTGGAATGAACCCACATTCTGATGTATAAATAAAATAAACAACTACATTCATGTGCTCTTGAGTGGACGAGTTTTCAACTTATTTTGCGGAACTTACGCTAAATAACACATGAATTCACACAATATACGTAGTGTCTTTTCTGTTTTTATTTCGCTTCCGCTATTTTAAAGAGAAGTTAGGTTTGCAGTTGGGAATTCAAGCGTCCGTTCTTGTTCATTGAGTGTGGCATTACATAGACATCGACTAAGTTGAGAAAAATGACCTTGGACTCTATCCCATTGATACATGAGATCAAAAGATGTTCGATACAGTGCAATAATTTAATTCTGTTGCAGCCCTGCCATCTGGACCTATGCTCAATCTAACATCGGAAGACCCACCACAACGAAAGAGATGTTACAGAAGTCGCAGCAGTATGTTGGTATATTTGGTGAGAGGTAGATTTCTAAATAAATAAAAAAGAAGCTTCTGCATTATCTTAATGGAAAAAAATAAAGCAGGATATCTTCCCTGTGGTGAAGAGTCTAACAGGATTGCAAAGAAAGACCCTTCAACGTTCCCTCCTTCAAACGATTCACTCCATATAGTTCAGAATGGAAGACTCATGCGACCGCCTCCCCACGTTCTATTTTGAATGTTTGACTAACTTCATTCGTAGATTTTCTTCATTCGATATTCAAATTTCAAATGACATCTTGACCCATTGATATGAACGAATGCATCAAGTTTCACTTTTCATCAATATTGTTCAACCCATAGGGTTGAGTGATCAGTGATTCCACTTCTTTTTCCATCGACTTAATTTGCATCTACCGTAGTATTAGGGTCATTCCATCTCAAATCAGCCAGAGGCCGGAGCATGACCTCCTTCGATATTGACGAAATTTTTTTTATGGTACCCCTCATGGCCCGAAGTAAGAATGCAACATTTTGGCTTCGGGTATGGAGCCGTTTTTGCGCAATAATTAGCAAAATTTTGTGAAACTTCAAAAGGGGGCACCTCTTCATGCTCATGTGGGCCGAAAACTTTTCGGCTTAAACGATCGCAACAAACACCATTGTTCTTTTAAATTATTAGACTTTCGAAGTTATTTCATACACTTTCTTCCTCGAGGCGACACTGAAGAAAATAAAGCAATGTAAAAATTTTCAAAATTTTGGCATATTCAGAAATTTGCAAATCGTCAATATGTTCATAAAACTTTATCATTATGTATGTTTTTGGATTCAGCGGGAAAAGATCTACTGATGCATGTCATATATTCGTCCCAACAAATTCCGCTTAGGGGGATGTGATGGCCTGAAATATGTAAAAAAAATCACTGTTTTCATTTATGTAGTGCAATTTTCTATGCAGCTCAACAAACTTGGAAATATTGATGAAAGTCTGTCATTTCCCGATCCCTGGGAATCTGCAACATGCAGATTCAAAGATCAGTTCAAAGATCAGTTGAACATCCAAAAGGAACATCCAGCGAATATACAAAAGCAATAGTTCCAGGACATCCGTTGGGTGTATTGAAATTCTCAACGAAAGTTTCGGCGGATATCGGCTGGATGTAGAACTTACTCCAAACTTTTTCTTGCGCAAGATTTGCTGCACGTGAATATTCAGAGCACTCTCACGGGCATTACTTTATTTGACCTCATCGCTGTATCTATACGTAAGGGCGATGGCAGCTCCTGTTAATATATTATACTTCAAGCCTTCCCATTCATGTCCTTCTGAATGGACGGGCATGAGGGTTATCAAATTCCCAGATCTTCTATTTCAGCTGTAAAGGGATTTGAACTTGAAGATCTTAGAAGGAAGATTGAGAGAGCTCTTCATGCGATTTCTCTCACCTTCAGCCAATGTCCCCAAGCCATGGTACGAAATTTCGCACCGCCACAAGCAACGCCAGCTGGAAGCAGAATCATAGTATCAGAGGAATCGAGATATGTACGACGGTTAGTACATTGCCGCCTTGCGGGAATGATCGGAATTTAACTTCTTAAAATTAGCCGACAGATGTCAGGCCTCAACGTGCATTCACGATATCCAGCGATCGTTCGTAGAACATCCGCTCTGGCATCTATCTCGCACCTCCATCGCATGTCCGCCTCAGGAACCTCAGGAAAAGGTGATTTTCCCATGGATTCGATCCTGCGTCCCCTTGCGGTGGGCTCTGCTCGCTATCAATCGAGTCACTCAAGCCACTAGAGGATACACACGGGATATCTACCGTATTCAAGAGCTTGCTTGCGTGTGGAATAAGGTGGATGAGGTGGGAAGGGGTATGGTGTGGAATTTCTTAGCAGGGGAGAATGTATGGGTATGGAGATTCTCAGAAGTAGTGGAGCTTGGGTACCTGGTTTCAGGGAGTTGAATTGTGGTGGGAAGGCTTGGAACGAAATCGAAGGAAATCTGAAATACTAGAGAGTACCAGCCCAGGTACAGAATTGATATTCCATTGGCCCCCATACCGCTGGAAATATAGCATATTCGTCGCATCTTAGCCATCCAATCTTGAAAAAATAATAGCTATTGAATATTATTGGTACATCATAGGCATATATGAAAGGGCCCGTCCAAATAGACATGTTCTTAATGGTGCGCGCGTCCGCATCGCGTGGAGATGGAAGGAGTGTATGGAGCATAGGATGCATTACGCCTAGCAACCCTGTCTACTCGATCCCGAGCAGCCGCGCTCGCCTATTTTCTACTATGGATCCATCATCCGTGAGGGCTGGAATGAAAATGGATGCTTTAGTGGAAGACGGGAACTCTGACCTAGAGCCCCTGGAGAGAGAGAGCCTGGCCAACCTGGGTCACACTTTTCGACGCATCTGATTGGCTGACGCGCATGGGCGCCATTTTCGCTCCAGCTGTTGCATGAACACGGTCCATGGAATGCACGTGAAGTGGCTTTTCCGCCTCGATCGTAGAGCAATAATGCCGCGCTATGCACATGTGAAACGCTCAAATGGGTTCCAGCAAGGTTTTCCTCTGTTACTGTTTCCAATAGACACCCGGAGAAGACCCCTTTGGACTGCGAAATTGAATCTTGCCTATTAGGAGCTTCAAGATTGATCTCGCATATGTGAGGTAACCATGACAAAGTCTAGACGATCCAGTAAGGAGCCCCTTAGGGGGTCGGGGTTATATATAACTGGTTCATTAATTCTGCACCTTCCTGAACGCAAATTGATTTTCAATCTTTGCAACAAAGCCCTGCACATTGACGTCTTCCTTTATTACCGCTTCTTGCCGGACGCCGGACGCTTCTTGCCAAGCCCACCTCGCAGGTATCTTGAGAATGACAAGACCACTCAAAGATTCTTGCATTACTCGGGGTGTCCTTTTCAAAACATAAAGTCAACAAGTCATCCATTTTGAAGCAGGCTTACTGACCTGAATCAAAATCCATTATTCGTCCTTTGTCCTCATAGATATCACAGCCTCATGACAAAGCGCGGATCTATCCTGAANAGCACTCTCACGGGCATTACTTTATTTGACCTCATCGCTGTATCTATACGTAAGGGCGATGGCAGCTCCTGTTAATATATTATACTTCAAGCCTTCCCATTCATGTCCTTCTGAATGGACGGGCATGAGGGTTATCAAATTCCCAGATCTTCTATTTCAGCTGTAAAGGGATTTGAACTTGAAGATCTTAGAAGGAAGATTGAGAGAGCTCTTCATGCGATTTCTCTCACCTTCAGCCAATGTCCCCAAGCCATGGTACGAAATTTCGCACCGCCACAAGCAACGCCAGCTGGAAGCAGAATCATAGTATCAGAGGAATCGAGATATGTACGACGGTTAGTACATTGCCGCCTTGCGGGAATGATCGGAATTTAACTTCTTAAAATTAGCCGACAGATGTCAGGCCTCAACGTGCATTCACGATATCCAGCGATCGTTCGTAGAACATCCGCTCTGGCATCTATCTCGCACCTCCATCGCATGTCCGCCTCAGGAACCTCAGGAAAAGGTGATTTTCCCATGGATTCGATCCTGCGTCCCCTTGCGGTGGGCTCTGCTCGCTATCAATCGAGTCACTCAAGCCACTAGAGGATACACACGGGATATCTACCGTATTCAAGAGCTTGCTTGCGTGTGGAATAAGGTGGATGAGGTGGGAAGGGGTATGGTGTGGAATTTCTTAGCAGGGGAGAATGTATGGGTATGGAGATTCTCAGAAGTAGTGGAGCTTGGGTACCTGGTTTCAGGGAGTTGAATTGTGGTGGGAAGGCTTGGAACGAAATCGAAGGAAATCTGAAATACTAGAGAGTACCAGCCCAGGTACAGAATTGATATTCCATTGGCCCCCATACCGCTGGAAATATGATAGCATATTCGTCGCATCTTAGCCATCCAATCTTGAAAAAATAATAGCTATTGAATATTATTGGTACATCATAGGCATATATGAAAGGGCCCGTCCAAATAGACATGTTCTTAATGGTGCGCGCGTCCGCATCGCGTGGAGATGGAAGGAGTGTATGGAGCATAGGATGCATTACGCCTAGCAACCCTGTCTACTCGACCCCGAGCAGCCGCTCTCACCTATTTTCTACTATGGATCCATCATCCCTGAGGGCTGGAATGAAAATGGATGCTTTAGTGGAAGACGGGAACTCTGACCTAGAGCCCCTGGAGAGAGAGAGCCTGGCCAACCTGGGTCACACTTTTCGAAGCATCTGATTGGCTGACGCGCATGGGCGCCATTTTCGCTCCAGCTGCTGCATGAACACGGTCCATGGAATGCACGTGAAGTGGCTTTTCCGCCTTGATCGTAGAGCAATAATGCCGCGCTATGCACATGTGAAACGCTCAAATGGGTTCAAGCAAGGTTTTCCTCTGTTACTGTTTCCAATAGACACCCGGAGAAGACCCCTTGGACTGCGAAATTGAATCTTGCATAATGGGAGCTTCAAGATTGAT